TTACACGCAATGTCAATTTCCTTTTCTTCATAGACAGTTTTTAAATAGGTCTTGCTCAGTGTCCCTCTTGATTACATTTCAACATCTCTCCCTAACTGACTCTCTTCATGACCATAACATTTTCAGCACTTACTACAACTGTACACTAATGATTCAAGTTTACACTATCTTTTGGGTCTGGTTTCTTTCTCAATACAGTTGGCACTCTTTCTTTCCCTTTGGTTTCATCATCATTATCATGATCATCATCATCATCACCATCATCATCATCATCATCACCACCATCATCATCATCATCATCATCATCATCATCATCATCATCATCATTTCTTCTGTCTAAATACTGTCCAGCACCTGTACAGAATTGGCATAATGTCTCCAAGTTCTAATCCAAGCTGATCCTTGTGTGAAGCTAATTCTGAGGCATTAATAAAATACCTGATTACCAAATCCCTTTCTTTGATCATTCACAGCACAAGTAGCACAAATAAGCTTCAAAATATTTAACTATGTTTTATTAAAATTAATAACTAATTGAAAGTGAAAATCTGTTTTATATATTTGTTTTCTCTATTCTCACTAAAATGTATCAACTATATTGGTGAAATAAAAAGGTAGTAAGAAATGAAAGTATAGTTATACTTCTGAAAATGAATTTCATTCAAGGGAGATGATGTACAAGATAATGTAGTTCTGAGGTTGAAATAACTTGGAAGCTTCCTGCTACCTAGTGTTATCATAGCTTACAAAATGTCAGAGTAACTTATGGATGCATGGTTGTGATGATTTTGTCCTGCACTGCCTGAGGATGTGCCAATAGCAAGAACTGGTAATACAACACAGAGATAGTATACATGACTCTCCTGTTGAATGTGTTTATGGCATAATGCATGTTGCATCAATTTCCTACAGTGTTTCACGTACAGGAGTAAAATCATGCCTGGTACTAGAAACCTAGCCAGCTTCTCCAGACTAGTGAAGTCATGGATCTTAGAAAAGAATCTACTACTGTTACATTGCTAGACCAACATAATTCCTTATTACATTTTAAATATTACCCTTACATACACAGGTAAGTGTAGCAAACACCCATCTTCAAAGAGTTTCTGTTTACAGCAAATAGAGACTGTTATGAAAAACCACACTTAGATACAATGTAGAGATCAACAGATCAAAAGGAAATAAATCCCAGTAGCTACATCTGCATCAGAGCCCTGACATCTATGACTTGGAGAACATCATCGAAGAGGAGCAGAAACATTGTGATATCCATACTATCAGAAAGTATGGTATGAAAGATCCTATTCTAGAAATGGTGGAATAAACAAGGCCAGGACAGTAGTAATGTGAATAGACATGCTAATGTTTTAGGGGGACATTTTCCCAGGATCTGTGCTTAAACAAAGAATTGCAGAGAGCAAATAACTGGTGGGGGAAGGAGAATTAGTCTCTCCTAGGGTGAGCTTCTTATTGGCCATCCAATGCAAGGTGGTCAAACTTGACACCATATACCTGAATAGTAAAGAAAGACTTAGCAGATTGAATTTTATGTATTTGTGGATACATACATGCCACAATAAAAATTTGTGAAAAAAAGCTACTAATTTAAGATCAAGGGGACATGGAAGAGGATGGAGGGAGAGTAACTGGGAGAGTCTGGAGAGATTGGAAAGAAAAAGGGAAATGATGTTTTAATTAAATTAATATGTTAATTAAAATGTATGCATTTTTAAAAATAAAGGAAAAACTAAAAATTCCAAGTGACTGAGGAAGATGCCAACTGTGGGCATCCACAGACAAGCACAGCCATGTGAGTGTGCGCCCATATAGACATTGTGCCACATGAGAAAACCTGACAAGTACACAGGCACACATACAAAGTAATTACATGTATTTCTGTTTTTATTCTTACAGTTATTCTATTTTTATTTGTTAATAACCTTATTAGGAAATAAAACAATATGTATTTAATTTAATTTTGTACATTAGTTGCTGTATAAGTGCTGTAACGTGAGCTGGGCTCGCTCCTAAAGTTTCTATGGGCTTGCTTGTGTCTGTGCGCTAAGTTGTGTGTATGTGTGTGTGCAAAGTGAAGCAGACAAACAGCTTCTCTTGTGTTTCTTTCAGTGTGTTTTCATAAGATGAAATGGAAAGTGTAGCATGGAATATAATTTTATATACCCCAGACACTGGGTAGAATGTATTTCTTAAATTAAATAAACAAAGCCAAATGAGGTGATAATTTGTTAGTAAATAATTTTTTTCAGGAAGACAGCTCACAGATACTTGAAGACATTATTAAGTGCCTTATAATCTGAATTTTAATTGTGAATATCATTTAGGTTTCATAAATAACCAAAGTGTGTATGTTTGGATGTTATCTACTTGGTGTTGATATAGAAACAGATATTCAACACGCAGCTTCCCATAATCTCTCTTTCTAGGTATATAATATAGCTAAAAGGGAAAGAATCCCTTCCTTCAGTTATGTATGCTTTTAGTTACATCAAACTAGTGTACAGAACAAGCAGACATCTGTGTGCATCTCTTAGATGATGGTGTGGCTTGATAGAGTAGCATTCCTGTAGCTCTTGATGCATAGTCTGACTTGTATGTCCCTTCTCTGTCAGTTGGCTCATGCTCTACCATCCTAGACTCTATCATAGACTAATTTTTGTGTTGTATTCTCTTCTCATGTTGAAAGAAACAGGGATTGAGTGCAAACTCCTACCTAGAATATAGAAAATTACTGCTACTGCATATTATATCATACATACAATGTGGAGACTTCTGACTCAGAGAAGATATGCATCCCATTTTTGGGGGGTTAAGTAGTAATACCTGGGGCAGTGTAGGAATATATGCTCCTTGTGAATTTTAAGACCACACAGATTGGATTAAAGTTTAGAAATATGAATTGGTGGCTGCAATTTTTAACTTCCAACTGAGTGTCATAGTTCAGACACTGAAATTAACTCTGTTGTCTGCTTCCATCCTGCAGAGGACTGTACCTTCAGACTATTTCACTAGGGAATAATCTCTACTCTTGGTTAAAACTAATGTTAACCAAAGTGTTAAAAGTGTTCTTTTTGTTCCTCCTGAAGAACCCTCAGAGAAACAAATCTCTAAAACAGAAACTACAGATAGAGGAATAGAAGACCTGGGATAAGCCATCATTGAGCAAGCCTGGTACCTCTGTGGGGACAGGAGGTATAACAGAAAAAGAATTATTTTTTCAAGAAAAAAGAAAACCCTTGCTTTGGAATGTAATTGATCTTAATTGTCAAATATTTACAGAGGTAGTGCTATCAGGGGTATTAGCATGAGTTTTGTGAAACCTGAAACAGGTGACGTTGATAGGAGCCTCTATTGTGGAGAGTCGACTCCCTTGTACTCTCTTATACATTCATCTTAACATAAATAATGTGACCTGTTTTTTCACATGAGCATGTATGGACCATCTTACCAAATACTTCTTCAATAGGATAAAGTCAGGTCTAGTGATTTTACTGCTTGTGTTACCACTAGTAAAACACACCCAATATGAACTTCCTAAGGATTTTGTTCTGGCCATTCCTAAGAGGGATGAAATTTATAGTGGTCTGTTTTCCTTTTTATAAAGTGATAAAAATAGTGTCTGTTGCTCAATGTTTTATGCAATTACCTTGTGCAACAACTGTCTTCTCTTTTGTTACACAAATGTTAACAAACACCCTTGTAAGTGAACAAAGAGCAAAAATGAGTTCACAGATGCAGATTCAGCTTTGTTTCTTTGTTTTTCAGAGACAGGGTCTCAGTACACAGTCCTGGGCTATATTGGAAGTCATAAAGATCGGCCTGCCAGAATTCTAAGTTTAAAGGAATGCACCACACCGAGTTTCAAGACAAGCATCTAATGGTGCTGCCAATAGGGTCTTCAAAGGACAGCAGTTTGCTCCTGTCATTTGAATCTTCTTTCTTTGCCATTAGGATGAAGAATAGGTAAACAAGGCACCTTAAAAATTATATAGAGGGTCAGATCCCTGAATGTTTATTACTCTTTCTTTCACTCCTTGGTTTAATAAAGAACTAAATGCCAATAGCTAGGCAGAAAGAGATTAGGTTGCACTTTTGGACAGGGAGAGAGCTCATTGGGGTGTAGAAGGGCAGAGTCATTAGCCAGATGGAGAGGGAACAAGGCATTCAGGAGGAAAGGTAAATTACATGAGCCATGTGGAGCACATAGATTATGGAAATGGATTAATATAAGTTTTAAGAGCTTGTTACACAATTCTAATTTATTGACTGAGCTTTTATAATTAATAAGAAGTCTCCATGTGGTTATTTGAGAGTAGACTGGTGGGATAAAAATGTTTGCGTACAAGGTTAAATCAAGGAAGCTTTATTCTATAATTTCTATGATCACATACACTCCTCTCTTGACTTTCTTGCTTCATTGGTAAAAAGATTCAAATGTTTAATTCAGCACTAATAAACCTAATCTTTCCCTTTAAAGGTCTGTAATTTAGTCATATCTGCAAAGCCTTTTGTGACAGAAGGTAATACTCCTAAAGTCCAGGAATTCAGAAGCATGAATCCCTAAAGATTCCTCTCTTCACGTTCTCAGTTGGGTAAAGTTTAGGTTTTGATCAGACTGACCCATGACTGAATGTCAGTAAACTTCTGTGAAGATTGCAAGGTAACCAGTCAACTCTATGTGCAAAAACTTCCTCAATATATTCTCTAGTCTCTGGACATATATCAAAGACAATCCTGTTAAACTGTAGGGAGAGTTATGGGAGCTTTAAATATATTAGAACCAAATCTACCTTGGGCAACAAAAGGACCTTGTGATTTACTTATATGCTTTCATAAAGAGGTAGGAAAATGGAGGGAACCCCGACTCAGTCAAGAGTAATTCTTCATTAGAATGTCCAGAAATTTCAATTAGTCAAAGTCCTATTTTGAGCATGTTAGATGTTGGGCAGGCATTTGGGAGAAAAAGTGGGCAAGATGCTTACCTTAAATAACAAGTCTTTCTTCCCATAACGGAGCTCCTTCAGTTGGGCTTGGATTTTTTTCGACTGCAGAAGCAGAGATATGCATTAGTGCCTATGCTTACTTTTATTTTCAATCTTGAAGATTTAAATTTTTCCACACTGCATCCGAGTAAATGCTTTAGCCTAGTCAAGCAAAAACCTATAATTTGGACAATTAACAGAGAAGACTAAATTTGGCTTTGACATCAGACACGTAGACATCTGGGTCAGATAGCAAGATTTCCGTTTGTTTAAAAAAATCATATGTTTACAAAAGGTGTTATTTAATAACTTTCTGTCTTCTACTCTACACACAAACATACAAAATATCTGTAATGAAGCATGATAAAAATTCTAATTTTAAGTGGCAAAGGTGATGTGGGATTCTCCTCTGTATGCTCTGTATGCTGTGAATACCATTGGTTAATAAAGAAACTGGCTTGGTCTGATAGGATAGAGTAGGGCTAAGCAGTGAAAAACTAAAGTGAATGCTGGGAGAAAGCAGGACAGAATCAGAGAGAAGCCACGTAGCCCAGCCAGAGGCGACCAGACAGAACTTTGCCAGGTAAGCCACAGACTCATGGTGATACACAGATTAATGGAGATGGGCTAATTTAAGATATGAGTTAGCCAGAAATATGCTTAAGCTATAGGCCAAAAGTGTTGCAAATAACATTGTTTCTGTGTGACTATTTCTGGAGCAGCAAGGAAACAAACAAGAGACCTCCTACAACACAAAGGCTTGTGTATGAATGCTGTTATCTTTGTTTTTATTAAATTACTTTTTCAGATGTGTGATAGATAAGTGTAAATTCATGGAACAATTTAATCCACTGCATTTTCAACAGACACTAGCAAACAAATGGATAAAATGCCAGCAAAATTCTTTTAGTCAAGAGTAAACAGGGCTACAGAAGACCACACTTTATACCAGGATCCTTATAAATATAAAAACGTTTAACAAACTCAGTTGCTCCCAGTGACATATTGCTACATGCCTTTACCTGCATCCTTATAATTTATCTGTAAGTTGGAAGAGGAGACTGTGTATTATAAGCCTTTAAAAAAAAGATACGGTTCCCAGTACTGTAATGGGAGTACCTCAGCTAACTGAATTTCCACCCTTGAAATAATAGATCCTCTTACTTCATTGGGGAGAAACATTCACATGTATATTTGTATATGTATATGTATATATATATGTATACATGTATGTGCACATATACACATGGTAAGGCAAAGATACAAAATATAATGAAGAATAGTAGGTGCTTCTTTTTTAGCCCATATTTCAAAGTCAGAATAATGTGAAGAACAGCATGCCACATGATCTGAAATTACATGAGAATTCATGAAGGAGTCCAGGACAGCTCTACTTATGGACTCACAGCAACTGTGATAGCATCCACCAAACCTTTCAATACCAAGTCAGACCAGACTGAGGAAGGAGAGGAGAATTAGTCTTCCTCAGAGATGAACCCCCAGATACCAACTGGTCAGCCCCAGAAACATATACATGCAGGCAACACTGAACAGACCCAATGGATTGTATTTATATATTTTATGTGCATATGTAACAGTAAGAATAAAAACAGGCTGTGAATTTGAGACGGAGCAGGGATTAGGAGCATGGGAAGAATAAAAGGCAGGTGTGAAGGGAGAATGATATAATTATATTTTAATTAAGTTAAAATATTTCTTTAAGAAAAGATTTGGTAACAAAGCCAACTATTTGATTTTCTTGTTTTTTTTTATTTTCCAAAGCATCTCATGTCTACCAAAAGTTATTCTCTTTTTCTAGTAGGGGCAGCTAATGTCCCAAGCTCATGATCAGAAGACTGAAGCTTGCTAGTGAGAACATGGGTTTGACAGAGGCTATTAATGAAGAATATTTACACATGACCCTTCAACCTCTGGTACTTAAGTTTTTATGCTGGAATTAATGCTTCCTCTAACTATTTGACTACAACCTCTCCCAACTGTCCAAACTAATAATAACCGATTCAGAGCCTTGTCTCACACTAAGCTTTTCTCTATGGCAATTCTGATTTACATGGCTATCATCACATCGGCCACTCATTTTACGAAAGAACAGTCCTGTTCCACCTGGTCTTCAGGACTCTTAGCCAAGCCAAAGAGTCTCCCAGGGAAAGTCTTTCTCTCAATAGAGTTGACAAGCGTGTGGGAAGCGGCTGATCCCTGCAGCTCATAGTAAGTATTCGTGTGACCCGTCCAGTACCATCTTCAGTCCTGAAAATTAGTGCTGGAGTTTCTCAGGAGGGGTCAAGGACAATGTCAACTATTTCTGATATCTACTTATAATCTATTTGCACAGATGATGTGTGCTAGGATCTAAACTTTTCACTATAACAACAGATATTTAAAGCAACAACAGGTAGTGTTTTAGGTATCTAAAATTAGAATTAAACTGAGATTTTATTTCCTATTTTTTATTGTGGTGTGTCTATGTAGTGTATGTGTGTGTAGTGACCACATCATGGTAGATTCATAGTAGATTTATTGGCCTTTGTTATCATGAAGATATGAATTCTTTGTACTCTCATGTCATCTGTATTTAAGAGACCAGACTAATTATCAGTATGCTGATAAGCAAAATCTTTTCTTAGGTTTTCACAAAGATTATTCAGAAACAATACATTGAAGTAATATATCGATTGTGGAATGTTTGCTAATTTGAAAACATATAACATGTTAACTGTCTTAGCTTGTCAGCAATATTTTGATAAGTTAAAACTATCAAAAGGGATAAGCCTCTAAAAATGATACACCATTTGCAATCTCAGTGATTTTATTTTTACTATATTGCTAATTGTAAATGCACTTCCTAATATCAGATCATGAAGATCATGAAGGTCATGGAGTGTCTGCTTATGCATGAACTAATTAAAGCTGAGGTAATGACAATGGCGGGTAGGAGAAATGATGAGGAGGATGTAGGCAACCATGACAGAACATTTTAGCTCCTCAGTCTCATTTAGGAGAGAACTGTCTAATCTGAGATTCCTTCCTACACATTTATATTCAAATAACTTTCCCTTTATGAAATAATAATGGTAGCTATGGCAGATGGTGTTGGGTTTGCAGTTTTTAATGTTTGTACTATAACTATTTTCTCTGGATTGGAACATTATCTCTGGGAGGAGGCAGGCTCTGAAGACCTGGGAAGCTAATTATTGTTCGCTATGCCCAGGAAGCCCGGGAACTTAGGAGACTTCTGGCAGTCTCGAGCAAGGTCATAGAACCAGTGGTGATTTTGGGGTAGGGGGAATCTCTAACTCACTAAGTTGTCTTTGGGCATGCAGCAAACCCAGAGAGATGCAGCTCTCATGAGATGCTGTCCATTCTGTGGTGAGGATTCCAGAGATGCAGCTGCCTCTATTCATTCTGCTTCTAGTTCTCTATGTGAAGTGAATACATATTTGTTCATGTCTCCCTAGGAAAAGCTACATTACATGGTCTTCTATGCCAGATCACAGTGTGTTTCATTCCTGTGTGGGTATAGAACCGAGAGCTCAAGCCTGGTATGATGAACTGCTTTCAGCTAGTGTCCAGCACAAAAGATTGTTATTTTGTTTTAAGAAAGAATGATGAATCAAATAATAAAATTTTGTGCATATTATTCTAAAATATTATTTTACAGTGTAAACATTTCCCTTTTAATCCAGAATTCTGTGCTCTGATATTATTCTATAAATACTTAACAAGATACAGCAAAATGAATAAGTTATATGAACTTAACTGCATTTTAACCATTAAGGAAATAACATAAAGAACACAGCTATGAACAAATGAGATTTAATTTTCACTGAGCTGAGGAAAATTAGGAACATTCTCGAATGAAGAGGATAAACTATAAATGGAGAAACTTTAATTTTCTAAACACCAGTGATACTTTTAGTGCCCCTTTCTCCCCTGTACTTGAGTTTTGTGGGGATCTGATAACATGTTCAATGTAACTGTTATCCAGATATTTCCCTTTTCTGTTCTTGGTTCTAGAGATAGATTCTTGAGTGACTCAGGTCTCCCTCAGGAATCAGTGTTGTAGGCGAGAGTGACCTTGAACTCTTGATCTTTCTGTCCTTTAGCCCAGGTGCTGGTATCACAGGTGCCTGTACCACATCTGGTTTAGACATTTCATATTCAAAACACCACTCTATTTACTATATCACAGTATTTAAAACTAGCCCAATGCTCATCTATCCTATTTCAACAATCCCAATAATATAAACAAGGTTATGCTGATTTCTGTCCAAACAGAGCAAAATGTGATGAAATGAAGCCCATCCTTGCATCAGAGCTACAAACTAACCAGTTCTATTTTCCTTTTATAGAGAATCAACACTTACTTTCTATCTCTTAAAGCTTTCCATCCATTGTTTACATACGTGTGTATATTTGTATGCATGTATATATACACACACACAAATATGGATGGTTATATATATACATACCCATCTATATCATCCATGTGTATATATATATATATGCCAAATCACAGTGTATTTCATTCAAATATATATTTTGAAGTTTTATATATATACCTAACATATATATATATATATGAAACTTTTCTCCAAATGATCATATTACATGCAAGCTTGAAGTATAGAGTTCTTGATAATGGCTTTGTCCTAAAATATATTTTGAGCTCTCATATTGCCTCAGCATGTGACCTTGTTCTTACAAGCAGGAGAGTAAGGGAAATTGTGTTATTTCCTAACTTTTCCATCTATAGAAAGGTGGTGAGAAAGGTATAAGGGAAGTGAAGTAATTTCATAGTTAGACAATGATGGACCTGTTTGAGCAGCTATCAGTCTCCCTTCTGGACCTCTTGGGGGTCTCAACTTTCAAACTGTAAAGCCATTGTTCTTCTCTTAAGCTTCATTCCTTCCCATTTTTCATAGACATCAGGTCTTCCTGGAATGGAAATGCTTCTTTGTCTATTCCTTATAATTTGTGGGATCTTCAGTGGGTGGGTGATTTTTCTTCATGTATGCTTCCTAAGTACCCCTGGGACACAGGGACTCTTGGGTCTTGTTTTAAACTTCACTATTACTTTACTAATCTCCTTAATAGTTCCTACAAGATATGGTTCTATTTTGAACTCGGTATCATGTCAGAATTAGATAAATCTGAGTATTGTTATTAAATGTTTGCTCTTCCTTGAGTAATATATGAGAAAATCTAGTTGCACAGAAAATAGAACAAGCAGGTCTGTTTACCTGGTAAGCTAATGTAATCCCAGAAACTTTGCTGGTAGCACATAAATGTCACAAAACTTAAGAAAAATGCAGTGGGCATCTGATAATTTCCTACTGGGGAAAATTCATATAATGAGATAGGTGTTAGAAATTTCTTTTATGAACATGGCATTGGGTACATTTTTATTTTTTCATTTGTGTAATGTTGGAATAACTAGATACATACAAAACTAAAACTAAAATATATTTTATTTTGCATCCAGTATTTCATTTGGGTTAGGGGAATAGGCCTTAGTTCTTAAGATTACACAAGGTTTAATTCACTAATAATCTTAACCAGGTGCCCTTGTGAAAAGATCATATTTGCTCACCTCTTCGGCATGCATCCCACACAGCTTGCTTCCAGACAACAATTTGTTCTTCAAGCTTTTATTCTGAGGAAAGAAAGAGAATTTTACACAAAAGATGGTAAGTTATTAAGAACTTCCTCATTTAATTCAGCCATATTACTCTGTTTGTCTCACAGATTAAAGTTAAGCATTATCTAAAGAACTTATTATTCATTCTAAAACCATTTTTCAGATAAAATTATCAATTATTATTAAGATAATTACTCAAAACAAAAAAATCTTTGGCTAATGAGATGGCTCTGTAGGTAAAGGTCCTTGCCACCAAGATGACCTGAGACTGATCCCAAGGAACCACATGATAGAAGGAGAGAATGAACTCCCGAAAGTGGTCTTATGATTGCCACAGGTATGCCATGATACATGCAGACAAACACACACACACACACACACTGTACACACACACACACACTGTACACACACACACACATCACACAGACACAGACACACACACACCGTATACACACACACAGCACACACACACATACACCATACACACATACACACACTGCACAGACACACATACACACAGACACATGCATGCACATACACACACACACCATCACACACATACACATACATACACTGTAAACACACACACTGCACAGACCCACAAACACACACACACACCATATATACACACACACAGACACACAGATTCATAGGCACAAGCACACACACACACATACATATACACACACTATAAGACCCTCACCCTTTATTTTCAAAGGGGCGAGAAGAAATTTCCTAGCAGAATGTTTTCCCAGGAAGATAGTGGCCTTACTCGTACTCAAGGAATTATGCCTGGCCACATGGTACAGGCTGAAAAAGATGGCCTTGCTCAAAGAACAAAGAATTAACTGACACAGCAGGATGAGACAGAGCAAAAGACCTGGCACCCATGCTAAAGCAGCTTCAAAAAGCCTCTTTGTAGGTACACCTTTAAAGAATAACCCTGCAAAAGACGCGCAACTCCACTCTCTACCTTGTTGCAATGGGGGTTGGAGACAGGGGTTCCAAACTAGTTTGTATTATGCTAAATAAACCTTGTTTATTTCAGTCTGGGCCTCTCTGGTGTTCTCTCTCTAAGGGATGTAATCTGGGCACACCACACACACCGTACACACACACACACACACAATGTACACACACACACATACCGCACAGACACACATACACCACGCAGACACACACACACACACACCATATAGACAGACACAGACATACATACACACACACACACACTGCAGACACACACACACACAAACACACACATACTAACACACATACTGAATAGACAGACACAGATACAAACACATACATATATACACACACAGTACACACACACATACTGCACAGACACACACACAAACACACACATATACACACACACACTGCATAGACAGACACAGACACACACACTGCATAGACAGACACAGACACACACAGACACAGACACACACACACACACACACATATATATATATATACATACATACACAGTATACACACACTTCACAGACACACACACCACACACACAAACACACACATAAACACATGGTGGGCACACACATAAATGTAAAGAAAAAAATTAAAATACATAAATTTACATAGAATTTTTTCTCACCTATGTTTCTTTACTGTAACATGTAGTTTTATAAGCTGACCCCACATGAGCACTCCATATGACCTTCGCAAGCATCTCTCTCATGGCACCTACACAAAGGGCACCTTATTGTCTATTACAATACAGCCACATCTCAAAGAACATCTGAATTTCCCTTGAAGACTAGTTTCAGAATCTTATTACTTACAGATAAGTGTTATACTTAAAGGTTCTTTCATGTTTAAAAGCCAGTGCCGATACAAGCTTCAGAAGTGAGTGACCTGTTAACCTTATAAATCTGCTAACATTGGCAGAGGTTGGGAGGTGAGCATTTGTTTCTCTAAGTCTTCCTTACTTATAAGAAAAATCAGAGACGTGTGTGTCATAGACTGTGATGGAGACTGAGCACAGGGTCTGGGACATGTTTCGCTACTAAAATACAAAAATATTCATTTCCTTCTGAAAAGTTTAAAGAAATCCAAACGAAAATGAAGTATTTTTATCTCCATCCTTAAATTTTAATCTTTTTGCTCTCCTTTGAGACTCTATTTGACAGTTCATCAACAAGCCAATTTCAGTCCCTCTCTACTTTCTCACTGTATCTTTGGCATGCTCAGAAGAAATTCCAAAAATAAGACAAGAGTTTCATTCTTTTCTATTGAAAAAGAGAGATCAGAAGCTATAGGCACAGCAGCTATCAAGACAGAGAGAATCGGACACTCCCACACCAGTTTTTATTCTTTCTTAATGAGGCTTTCTGCTATGGTTCCTAATTCAGACAGCTTCATAGACCAGCTGCCCTAGTATGTAAATTGCCACTGTGCACTTCATGTCTACACTTGTTTCCATGTCTGTTAGTGCCCATGAGATTTTCTGCACAAGGTAAAACAACCCTCAATCCAACTTTATTTTTTTTGCACCAAAAGGCAAAGAGAGAAAGACAGATAGAAGGGGGAGGGAGAGTGTGACTATAAGGTAACCTTTTTTATTAAACTCTTTTTTTATATAGAATTTATTTTGGTCCTGGAGTAACCTTATAAAACAGGAAGATAAAAAGGAAACAGTGCAGGGTAAGAGGGTCGGAAGGCAACACAGAGGGAGATAATAGGGTACAAGTAATATTAAAATTAATTTTCTTGGAAATGGGAAAAGTGGGGCTTTAATTAGATGGGGGAAGGTAAACCCAAAAGAGGAAGGCAATGTGGTAAAAAATAATAGCAAGGATGTCTAAAAAGTTGGAAGGAACCATATTATTAACAATTTACCTAAAAATAACACATAATAATGTAAGTCTGTGCAGAGATGTACATGTATGGTTTAAATGAATTTTTCTCATCTGAGCTGACAATGTTCTCTGCAACAGCCAAAGATCACCCCACAAAACCATCAACATGCTAGGACACAGAAGGTCTGCAGTTCCTTTCTCAAGCAGAAGCCCTGAACTAGATGTATCCTCCTTTCTGGAAAACTTCAGGCATGAGACAAAAGCCTAGGGCAAAACAGGGCCCAAAGGGCTTGGGTGCAGAATACAGAACTCAGAAAACAGAGGTAAAGATATTGTTTGCAGGGAAGTGCAGAAAGAAAAGTTGAAGTGAAGGATGAAAACTCCTGTTTGGTCAATCTCTCCTTGCAATGCTATTTCTAGCAGCTAGCTAAACATTAATAGAAAGATAAAAATAATTCATTCTTGATGGACAGGGAAGCATGTGGGTTAACTGCAGATTTCATTTCTCCCCTTGTTTCTCCAAATCCAATAACCAGCCTCATCCCCGATTCTGAAGCAGAACACCTGCTGAGGTCCCCAATAAGTCCCTACCTTCATTGGATCAAACAAAACTTCCCTTTTTAACCACCCTTCCCCCCACCCATTGTTTTACACTATCCCCTAGCTCCTACAAGCAATCCCTGGAAACACACAGGACATTCTGGACTGGGAAGCAGGCAGGCTGACTGCAGAGTATCATGTCTTCCTCCATTTCTCCATGTTCAGTTAGCAATCTCATCCCAACTGTGTAGTAGACCGTCTGCTGTGGTCTTTCCACTATCTGTCCACATTCCCAGGGAATTAAGCAGATCCTGATGCTTTCCTCTCTCCCACTGATCACCTTCGACAACTGCCCCCACCTGGAATCCATTCCTAAGTGTTAGCCCCTAATACCCAGGAACACGTCTTTTACCTGGAACTCCCCACTCTACTAAGAACCAGAGACGTCAACAGAAACTAAGTACCAAAACGCCCATCTAACAAATACAAGACCAGATTTTAGCACCTAGAATTACATCTTCACAATCCTAAATGCCAGTGTAAACACATTCAATATCACTCAGGACAATGTGTTCACTAGAGACCAACAACCCACCACAGTAGACCCTGAGTATCCCAATATCACTGAAGGAAAAAAAAAGATGTTAAAATAGTCTTTATGAATGTGATAGGGGTTCTTCAAGAAGAAATAAATAAAGTTCTTAAAGAAAACCCATGGAATAAATAATCTTAGACCCACAAATGAAAAGGGACACACACAGACACCCCCCCCAAAATAAACACAGGAATCAACAAACAATGCTCATTACTATCACTCAACATCAGTGATCTCAATTACCCAATAAAAAGGCACAGACTAACAGAATGAATGTAAAAAAGGAAAAAAGAAAAAAGATTCATTCTTCTGCTGCATTAAAAAAAACCTTAACATTAAGACACTACCCCATAATAAGAGGATGGAGAAGATGGTCAGCAAATGGACCTAAGAAGCAAGCTCACACAGCTGCTTTAGTTATCTCACAAGATAGACTTCAAGCCAAAACTAATCGAAAGATATGGAGAAGGATACTACATACTTATTAGGAAGAAAAAATCCAAGAGGACATTTCAATTTTAACATCTATGCCCCAAATACAAGTGCACCTAAGTTTGTAAAAGAAACACTACTACAGCTTAAGTCATGTCTTGACCCTCATATACTGTTAGTGGGAGACTTTAGAATCTTACCCTTGTCAGAGACAAGTCAACCAGCAAAAAACTAAACAGAGAAATGCTGGAGTTAACTGATGTTATAAATCAAATATCTACAACAGATATCTACAGGAAATTCCACACAAACACAAAAGAGCATACTTTCTTCAACACCTGATGGAACTTTCTCCAAAGTTGAACATGTACTCAGGTACAAAGAAAAACTCAAAAGATGCAATCCTATCTGACCACTGTGGATTAATGAGGAGATCAACAACAATAAAAGCAACAGAAAGTTTACAAACTCTTAAGAACTGAACAACTCTCTACCGAGTGGAAAGTGAGTCAGAAAAGAGATTAAATACTTTCTAGAATTGAATAAAAATGAATGTACAGCAAACCCAAATTTGTGAGACAATAAAGAAGGTTCTAGGAGGCAAGTTCCTAACACTAAGTACCAACAT